AACAGAAACATTCATGTATAAAATAATAATTGAACAGAAACATTCATGTATAAAATAATAATTGAACATTATTTATCTGAGGAGCAGCTTTGAGTTTAACTCCATCACTGAACTCTCATCTTGAACAAGCATGAAGGCGACAGTGGAAAGAAAAACTCCCTCATGAGGAAGAAACCTTTAGCAGAACCAGGATCAGGACTAGAGGACCATCTGCTTCGACCGGCTGGGTTTGGTAGGAATAGATACACAATGGCAGGTCAAGAAGCACATGTTAAGATAGAAATAGTATCAAATGAAAACTATTCAATTTTAACAATTCATTTAATGAAATGAGGTCAGTTTGTCCTCTAGTAGTGTAAAGCCCCCAGTATACTCCTGCGTACGTCCATATGCAGAGGTATGCACATACGTACGCAGAGGTACGAGCGTACCCCCCAGGGCATGTCCGTGCAAAGCTCAGATTTTTACGACCGCATACACGTACACGGTGTCGCACAATAAACTGCCCGGTGACGGACTGTTTTGTATGTGACACCATTGTATTAAATTCCTTTTCTTCATCTCTGATCTGGCCTTTTCTTTAGTTTTTTGCCAAGAGGCAGTGATCTCTTCCTCCTCCGTTGATGCCATGACTGAAATAGTGAAAAATGAAGGAATTTGTCACGAGCGAATTAAACTCAGGTCCAGCGTGGCTGCGGGAGGTCTGGAGATTTCCTGGTGGGCTGGTCTGATGTGTGGACTGCAGGGTCAGCGCTCCCTGTTTTTTGTTTTTTTTTTAAGATCTTTTTATTAACAACATATAAACACAGAGCACCGCTGCGGCGGAGGCTGCCAGCGCTAGTTTTTTTTCCCCCTGACCTGTCAATCAATCCAGTAGGCGTGTCAGCAAATGACCAATCGGCGACCTCAATTTGTCCCGAAGGTAAACGGCCCTTGTCTGTTGGTTCCACAAGAGAGGAGCCTGAGAACTGAAAGATCTTCCTCCCATTCTGCTGCTGGAAACTCTAGGAACCACAAGTAAACCTGCAGCCTGAGAGCAAAGTGCTCTGTTAGGAAAATATGGAACAATAAGATCTGTAATATAAGATGGAGCTAGGTTGTTGAGAGCTTTGTAGGTTAGAAGTAAGATTTTGAATTCAGTTCTGGATTTGACAGGGAGCCAATGGAGAGAAGCTAAAACTTGAGAGAGATGATCTCTCCCAGTAACTCCAGTTAAGACTCTGGCAGCAGCATGTTGGATCAACGGAAGACGTTTTCAAGAAGTATTTGGACACCCAGATAATAAACCATTGCAATAGTCCAGTCAGGATTATTTCAGGGGAGCAGAGGGGGAGGAGCAATAAGTTTGTTTGCAAAAACTTTGCAAAGTTTTAACAGATGAAAGTTAGTGACATCATCAGACTGTTAAACATTTTGTGTTCTAATGTCCATACTTGAAGAGTTTTATTTACTTATTTATTTATTGCTTGAAACGTCTTTTCTTGTCCACTTGTCCAGTTTTCTGAAAGTATTAGTTTTTTTTTATTAAAACATTTATATTTCTGAATGCTATAAAAATTTATAAATTTTTCTTAATTCTGTGTGACCAACTCCAACATGTCTCTAACTTGTTTCTAATCTCCGTGTCTCCAACATGTCTCTAACTGGTCTCTAATCTCCGTGTCTCCAACATGTCTTCAACATGTCTCCAACGTGTCTCTGACGTGTCTCCAACTCATCTCTAACTTGTCTCTAACTGGTCTCTAATCTCAGTGTCTCCAACATGTCTTCAACATGTCTTCAACATGTCTTCAACATGTCTCCAATGTGTCTCTGACGTGTCTCCAACTCATCTCTAACTTGTCTCTAACTGGTCTCTAATCTCCATGTCTCCAACATGTCTTCAACATGTCTCCAACATGTCTCCGACGTGTCTTGTGAACACCGGTGCTACAGAAAGTCTGTGGTTGTTTATATTTGTTTCTTGGCTCGTTGTTGTTGTTGTTGTTTTGGTCAGATGCTGGTAAACCTGCTGCTGCTGTCCGGTCCGGTCCGGCTGTCGACCCGTCTCTGCTGACCGCCCAGCAGCAGGGTAAGAACCGCACCTTAAGCCAAACATTTTATTAGTCAGCTCATTTATAAATTTAAATCAGGAACTGAAACACTTTGGTCTGCGTGAGTTTCATTTGGTTCTGATTCGTTTTAAAGGTTCTGCTGATGATCCCAAAAGGTCTCAGCTCTTCAGGTTCTGTTTGTTTATAAGAGAAGCATTGAAATCTGTTTCACCAGAACCAGAGTTTAAGGTTTAAAATCTTCATGAGAAAAAACCGTTCCAAACACAGACATGTAGTCGCTAAAGATTCACACGGGATCAGTTTTACCCAGGGACCACATGTAATTTGTAATAATTAGAGATTGTCTGTGTTGTTAATCCCGTGTGAATCGGCCATGTCAGTAATCTGGAAAGTGAAAATTCCCCCGTAAATTACCTACGATGTTTTGCTGAACTCCGAGGTCCGGTGATAAAACCAGAAGAGGCGTCTCTGTGATTTGGACAGAAATGCTCCGGGGCCGATGCGTAACGAGGCGTTTTTTCTTTTTGTTTAAGCAAAATCATTAGAAAAATCTAGAACAAGGTTATTTTAAAAGAACGCGCTGCGGCCTTTTATTTTTATGCTGCTACTTCCTTCACCGCAGGTGACGGGAGGTGTGGAGACGCGTGCGTGATCAGCTCGCCCATCTGTCCGTACTCGCTTCTTCCTTTTCGGGTAGCGGGAGTCGCTGGTGCCCAAGTCCAGCCATCGCTGACCAAACCCTGACCGGTGGGTCAGCGGACGCGCAGCCGCTCACGTGCACGGCCGGTGACAGCTGTCCATCTGAGCTTAGCGTGACTTTTATTTACCTCCTAAACCGGCCGGTCGGCCCCGCCTCCTCCTCAACAATAGATTAACAGTTTTATTTTGTGCATTCTTTAGTTTTCTGTGGGATGATTCATAAAACCACATCAAAGCCTGAGACCGGCTCGCACATTATTATGGACCGGCCCGATTGTGACAACGCAGCACGTTAACATCGTAACTGGAAGATGTCTGTAAACTTCAGCTAAATCTCAAACTTTGGTCATCACGTGTGAGTGCGCCACAAAAAGAGCAGACGCTGGGGAGTAATTTATTTCTGACACGTGGTCCCGAGGTAAAACCAATCCCGTGTGAACAGGGATGGAGCTGACGGGAAGAGGGTGTGGCTGATGCACTTCGTCTCTTTGTCAAAATAAATCTGGTTTTATTTTCGTTTTTATTCTCGACTCAGAGTTGAGCTCAATCTCAAGAAGACGAAGCTCTGGATCTGCTGGTCCGTCCCCACCAAGGGTGACCGGGCTCAGCCTCAAAGACGGGGGGAGGAGCTCGGAGCAGACCTGCTGCTCCTCATCAAAAGGAGTCAGCTGAGGAGGTTCAGACTCCTGATCAGGACTCCTTCTGGAGGTTTCCCAGCACAGAACCTGGGAAGAACCTCCATGAGGAGTCGGAGAGGGAGGTCCGGGTTCACCTCCTGGGCCTGGTGTGTCTGAAGAAAAACTTTACTGTCGACCGAAGGTTCAGAGGATCCTGCTCAGAATCAGACGCAACAAACGAAACCATTTTCAGAAACGAAAGAAGACGACGATGTGGAGCTCCAGGTGACCTGATGGTCCACCACACGTTGAATAATCTCGAGCACAATTAAATCCATGAACTCGTAAAGAGCAGATGATTAAAAGTAAAAACACTCGTGAAGACATTTTTACTGGAGATCAAGAAAATAAACCCTAAACAGAGCAGAGCTCCATCCATCCAACCAACCATCCATCCATACATACATCCATCTATACATCCATCTATACATGCATCTATACATGCATCATCATCCAACAAACCATCCATCCATACATCCAACCATCCATCCATCCAACCATCCATCTATCCATACATACATGCATCATCATCCAACAAACCATCCACCCATCCATACATACATCCAACCATCCATCCATCTATACATGCATCATCATCCAACAAACCATCCATCCATACATCCAACCATCTATCCAACCCTCCATCTATCCATCCATACATGCATAAATACATACATCCGACCGACTGACCGTCTGTCCATCCATCCATGCATGCATCCAGCCATCATACCTACCTTTCTATGCCATCTACATAAACTCCTTCCCTCCTTCCTTATTTACTTACTAAGTCTGAGCAGAGCTCCATGTTTCATTTTAAGACTTTCTTAATTTGATTGGTTGCAGAAACATCTAATGTCTAATTTAGTGTTTTAACAAGTTAAAAACATTTATGATTAATAATCAAATCGATGTTTGGCCACGGCTGTGATCTCAGATGAAATGATGATGGCAGGGTTTCAAAACTTTATACTTTATTCTCTTTTCCTCCTGACTGAACGGAGACGTCTCTGCAGGAGACGATGCTCTAACGGATCGTTGGCGCCGCGGCCCCGCCTCCTCGCCACCATCATCAGCAGGTGGCGAGCCGCAGGTGGCGAGCCGCAGGAAGTGAGCGCGTTCACTTATTTCTTTGAGTCACTCAGAGCGCTGCTGGTTTCGTTCTCTCCAGAGCTGGATTCTCGTGGCCTTTTTATGAGAACCACACTAAAAAATAAATGAAAACATGGAAACGTTAAATAACGTCACATTTTAGGAAAAATATTCAAATTGTGAACTTCAACAACTTTCACAGGAGAAGGTGGAGAATCAGAGCTTTGGTCTCCACCATCTTTGTCCAGGAAACAGAATTATGTCCATCTTTGTCCTCACAGTTTGAGTATCACCACCGGTACGTTGTACCACAGTTTGAGTATCACCACCGGTACTTTGTACCACAGTTTGAGTTTCACCACCGGTACTTTGTACCACAGTTTGAGTATCACCACCGGTACTTGTACCACAGTTTGAGTATCACCACTGGTACTTGTACCACAGCTGGTCAGTATCGGATTGTGGTGAACAGAAATGCGGCGTCCCTTCAGATTTGTGTAATGTTAAAGGTGATTTAAGTGTCAGCTCTTTCAGGATCATCTTTCAGACTCGACGTCGACACGTTCACTTCCTGACTGTTGTTAAATTATGTCAGTAAATGAAACTGGGGTGTCGTCCGGGATCATTTGAAATGATAAATGAGGAATAAAGTTGTTGAGTGGCAAAGGTTTATTGAATGAGTCGACTGGTTGGAGGAAACTCCATCTTTGGGGACGTTTATCGGATCCACAGTAGTTTATTAGTTTGTGGTAAAACAGATTTAATGGAATTTAACTGGTGTTGCTACAATAAAACATCTTCATAAAATTAAACTGCTAACACTTGCCATTATCATTGATTTTTTTACATTTTTATTTGAAAATACTTCAATAAAAGTACAAAAAAGAAAAAAAATAATAGTCTGCTGTCGACTGAGTCTGGTCGGTTTAACGACCTGAGCTTGTTCAAGGTCGTTTATCTGTGATCAGCTGATTGATCGTGTCCTTACAAACATTAGTCTAAAAATCTGCAGAGTGTTTGTTTGACGCGTTGTGTAAATATTATAAACGGTTAAATCGTTTTGTTTCTCAGGCCTTGGAGGAAACCTGGAAACAGGTTTTTCTCTGAACTATGACTCACTCCGCAGAACGGAGATGAATAATTTATATTCTTTTAAAGATTCAGATTTACCTGCAGAGCAGCATAAAAGGACATGTTTGCGTCATCTCGTTTTTCTGTAACGGATGCCTTCAGGCGTGCCGACAGAGCCTTTTGTCTGATTTTAGTTCCAATTAAAAAGAACCGGGCCGTTGGGGGACCACATTAGGGCTCGGTCCGGCTCATAAATGAAGATAAATGATGCTCGCTGCTCCTCATTAAAAGGATCTGACCGTGTGGGAAGGGGAAGCCAATTACCCAGAAAGGATGATGTTGTGTTCGTGGCCGACCCCACGCAGGCCGTTTCACCCACGGAGATAAAAAATAACCTTTAATTTACTTTGAAGTCTAGATTACAACTACATTTATTGAATTACTTTAAATTCATGTCAGCTCTTACAGCTCCAATCTTCGACTGTTGGAAACTTTAAAATGAATCAGATTTGGAACAAACCAAAGGCACAACGTTAAAAACAACAACAGAAAGTTTTCAATAAATTGGAACATTTTGAAAAAGACATTTCCTCTTCCTGTTTGTCTCTTTAGACATTAAATACTAAAATCAGCACAGGCCTTTACAATTGTAGCTGTCCTGCTGATTTTAGCTTTTAGCTACAATTCTGCAACTTAAGCTTTTGGTTTTGATTTTGGCTTTTGTTGTGAATGAACTCTGTTCTGCTGGGGGACTTCAGTGTCCACGTGGGTAACGGCCGTGTGACCTGGAGGGGTGAGGTTGGGAGGAACGGCCTCTGATCTGAACCAGAGCGGCGTTTTGTTGTTGGACTTCTGCGCTCCTCATAGTTTGTCCATCACGAACACCATGTTCCAACATCAGGGTGTCCATACGTGCGCTTGGCACCAGGACGCCCGAGGTCGTAGATGATTGACTTTCTAGTCGTGTCATCTGATTTGCAGCCGTTTGTTTTGGACACTCGGGTGAGAGCGGAGCTGAGCTGTCAGCTGATCACCACCTGTAGTGAGTTGGATCAGGTGGTGGGGAAGATGCCGGACAGACCCGGTAGACCCAAACGTGTAGTGAGAGTTTTCTGGAACGCCTGGCAGAAGAACCCGTCGGAGAGATCTTCAACTCACACCTCCAGGAGACCTTTAACCACGTCCCACATGAGGCGGGGACACTGAGTCAGAGTGGACCATGTTCTGGGCCTTGCTTGTTGAGGTAGCTGTCTTGGGATGTGGACGCAGGTTTGTCTGTGCTTCTTGTGGTGGCCATCCACGAGCTCAGTGGTGGACACCCCGGGTTAGGGAGGCTGTCGAGGTGAAGGAGTCCTATCAGTCCTTGTTGGCTGGTGGGACTCTGGAGGCAGCTGAGGAGTACCGGAGGGCCAAGCGGTCCGCAGCCTTGACTGTTGCTGAGGCAAAAGCTAAAGGCCGGGGTATACTCGGGCGTCCTGTCAGCCGCGCGCACCGTCCGCAGAGCGTTCAGACTTCATACTCCAGCGTCCACCCCGAGCAGCTGCAGAGCAGCTCCACAGGCAAGGGGCGTTTACCTTCTGGACAGATTGAGGTCGCCGATTGGTCATTTGCTGACACGCCTACTGGATTGATTGACAGGTCGCAAAAAATAAACAAAAAAAACGAGAGCTTGCAGCCGCAGCGGTGTTCTGTGTTTCTATGTTGTTAATAAAAAGTTCTTTAAAAAAAAAAGGAGCGCTGGTCCTGCAGTCCACACATCAGACTAGCCCACTGGAAACCTCCAGACCCTCCCGCAGCCACGCTGGACCTGAGTTTAATTCTCTCGTGACAAATTCCTCCATTTCTCACATTTCAGTCATGGCATCAACGGAGGAGGAAGAGATCACTGCCTCTTGGCAAAAAACTAAAGAAAAGGCCAGATCAGAGATGAAGAAGAGGAATTTAATACATCGGTGTCACATAGAAAACTGAGAGACTCTGTTGACCTGGGAACACCTTGGAGTCCTCCCAGAAGAGCTGGAAGAGGCTGTGGAGAGATGTCTGGACCTCCCTGCTCAAGATGCTGCCCCCAGACCTGAGTCCAGAACAGGAGGAAGATGATGGATGGGTGAGTGGATGGATAATGGATGGATGGTAGATGGATGGATGGATGAAGTCTTCAGCCCATGGCAGTAAATTCTTTACTTTCAAGCCACAGTTGATGTAGCAGGTTTGAGTTTATCAGAGGGTTTATTAACTGAGTTGAGGATCCAACCCAGCACTTGGAGCCTTTGACCTCTTGTGCTGCTGTAGACGATCGTGGTGACGATATGGTTCAGATATTATATCGTGATATTTCGGAGCATTCTGACGATTTCTTTTTTTCATTTACCTTTATTGATCCAGGTAGTCTCACTGAGCCACGAGAACTCATTTTCAAGAGAGAC